AACACTACCACATCTTCGTCGGTGACCTCAGCCCAGAGATCGAGACCCACACCCTGAGAGAGGCCTTTGCACCCTTCGGAGAAATATCGTAAGTGTTGTGTCTTTTACGTTGTTCCACGAGGAGTATTTATCTGTGTGTATGCGTGTTTTAAATAGGCGTGTGTACGTAAGGTCATTCGTGTACGCGTATTTTGCTTTGCCTTCACATACATGTACACGTATAAATACAGACCGTCAGAAAGTCATTGAAATTTAGACTTACAGAACCTGTACAGCAATGTATATACGAGCATATTGAGGACGTAATTGCCCATGAGTACACATATGCAGAACACATACGCTCACATACATTACTTACTGTCTGGTACTAAATGTGTTACTTGAGAGAGAGAGAGAGACAGACAGAGAGAGAGAGAGAGAGAGAGAGAGAGAGAGAGACAAAATTGAAATGTAAATGAGGATATAGAGAAAGCAAGGAAAAAGTATGAAAGAGAGAGAGAGAGAGAAATACTGAAGAGTGAGAGAGAGAGAGAAAGAGAGAGAGAGAGAGAGAGACAGACAGAGAGACAGAGATAGACAGACAGAGACGTAAAAAATATCGAAGCGAAGCCAGGGTCTGAGACACAGTGTCCCTCATCGGCATCATCCCTCCCACTCCGCCCGAGGCCCGAAGATCCGATCTTGCGCTTCAAAAAGAGAATCAACACGAAAGTTTTTTTTTCCTCTCTTTCTCTCTCTCTCTCTCTCTCTCTCTCTCTCTCTCTCTCTCTCTCTCTCTCTCTCTCTCTCTCTCTCTCTCTCTCTCTCTCTCCTCTTTTTCCTCTCCCTCCTTTTCGATTTTTGTAGGACCTGTATGTCCCCCTCGCTTCCCTCATTGCTTGTTCACCCCCCTCATTCCCCCCCCACCTCCCCCTGCAATGTCCCCTCTCCCCTCTCCCCCCCCTTCCCCTCCTTTTCTGCATCGGGGAGGGTCGGGAGAGCATGCAAATGATGTAAAGAGTTAGTGAAGTTTTAAGTTTCCCCTCCGCGTCAAGAAGTTGTCCCGTCGCGATGTTTGTGAGATAGAGGGCGCTCCTGGACTCCCTCTGATGGCAGATCTACCCGTTTTTGTTGCTTATTTACTTGTTTAGTTTTAGGTTTTACTTGTTTATTTGTAGGTTTCTAGTGTTTTTGTTTATTTATTTGTATATTTTTTATGTTTAATTGTTATTTTTTTTTTATCTGGCGTGATAGACGCGGTTGCCCTTTCTGGTATTTATATATTTATTTATAAATTTGTTGTCTTTTTCGTTTTTTCTTTCTTCCTTTTTGTGTTAAAAAATGTCTTCCTGGACGCTGTGTTGACAATGGAGCGTTTTTATCTTTATTTGTTTTTTTGATTGTTTTGTTCACTTTTTTTTAGTTTTTGTTTCCCTTGTTTTTATGGATACGGAATTTCTTGTCTGGAATTCGATCTCGCCCGTCAGGTATAATACCGTCTCGATTTCCGGTCCCGCGTTGATTTTAAGATTGCGAGGCTGAGCTTTCGTCGTAGGGAAGTAGGGGGGGAGGGGTATCTGAGAGGTGGTCTGAATTGGTATTTTTTTTTTTTTTTTTTTTTTTTTTTTTTTTTAGTTCTATTGCTCCCTTTTTTCCATTTTCTCTTTCTGTGTTTTATTCTCTCTCTCTCTTTCTCTCTCTCTCTCTTTCTCTCTCCTCTCCTCTCCTCTCCTCTCCTCTCTATAAATTCCTCTTCCCCTCTTGTTCTTCTCTCTCCCCTTATTTATGTGGTTGTTTCTTTCTCTCGAGAAACGGAAGCTTCCCCAATCCCTCCCATTCTCCCTCCCCCCATCGCCCCCCCTCTTCTAGCTCCTCCCAGCCCCCCCCCCCCCTTCCTGTTCCCCTTCCAGAACGTAACCTGCTTTGATCTATCTCAATCAGTCGTCTCACCGTCAGCGGGAAGAGGGGGAGTAGATTGCCGTCGTGTGGAGGTATGGCTGGCTGCTTCCACTCTTCCACTCCCATTTCCACTTTACCCGCATCACCATCACCACTTTTTTTGGGTTTTGTTTGTTTGGTTTTTATTTTGTTTATTTAACCCTTTCTTTTCCCTGGCCATCGCCGCTCAAACGCCGTCCACCATTGTCACGGCGTCGCCACCTCCACTTTTGGCCCAAAAATACAAGAATATGTCACTTTTCGTTCGTGTATCTCTCTCCCCCCTTCCTTCCCTCCCCTTCCCTCCTCCTTCCCTTCCCTTCCCTTCCCTTTTTCTCTCTTTCTTTCTCTTTTTTTATCTCCTCCGTCTGTCGGGTATTGCAGGCCAGCGCGGTTAATGATATTTCCTTTCCTGGCCCGGACAGTCTTTGTCTCTGTGGACATTTTTCGGTTAACGTTCCTCTCTCTCTCGCTTTCTTTCTTTTCTTTTCTGTCTTCTTTTTTTTCCTTTTTAACCTCTCTTTCTGGTTTACTTTCTGTCTCTCTATGCATATCTATCTCTCTCTTTCTCTCTCTCTTTCTCTCTGTCCCTCTCTCTCCCTCCCCCTCCCTCTCCCTCTCCCTCTCCCCTCTCCCCTCTTCCCTCCCCTCTCCCCCCCTCTTTCTCTGTCTGTCTCTCTCATTCTCTCTCATTCTTTCTTCCTCTCTCTCTCTCCCTCTTTCTTTCATCTAGTTGTTTTTTTTTATGATGTAGCCGATCCCATCTTCTAACTGAGTTTTTCAGTAGGATATGTCTTTGTGTATAAATATATATAGATTTTTTTTTACTTTGATCCATATAATTTTTTTTTTGTTTTTTTGCTTTTTGTTTTTGTCATGTATAAATCTATCTCGAAGTCATATCTTAAGGAGAAGACACAAAGGATAACCAATTCAACCGAGGGTTTTCGAGGCCCTTTCATCTCAACCTCCAAAAGGAAAGTAACGTTGCGGAGTCCATACCACACTGGGCTTTCCACCCCCCCCCCCCCTTTCCCCTCAAACCTCCTCCTCCCTCTCTCTCTCTATCTCTCTTCTCTGCCCTCTCTTCTCTGCCCTCTCTCCTCTGCCCTCTCTCCTCTCTCTCTCTCTTCTCTGTCCTCTCTCTCTCTCTTCTCTGTCCTCTCTCCTCTCTCCTCTCTCTCTCTTCTCTGTCCTCTCTCTCTCTTCTCTGTCCTCTCTCCTCTCTCTCTCTCTTCTCTGTCCTCTCTCTCTCTCTTCTCTGTCCTCTCTCCTCTCTCCTCTCTCTCTCTTCTCTGTCCTCTCTCTCTCTTCAATGTCCCCTCTCCTCTCTCTCTCTCTCTCTCTCTCTCTCTCTCTCTCTCTCTCTCTCTCTCTCTCTCTCTCTCTCTCTCTCTCTCTCTCTCTCTCTCACACTCTCACTCTCACTCTCTCTCTCTCTCTCTCTCTCTCTCTCTCTCTCTCTCTCTCTCTCTCTCACTCTCTCTCCCTCTCTCTCTCTCTCTCTCTCTCTCTCTCTCTCTCTCTCTCTCTCTCTCTCTCTCTCTCTCTCTCTCTCTCTCTCTCTGCCCCTCCTCCCTTTCCCCCCTCCCCCCCTCGCCCCTCCCTCCTCCGGCCCCTCTCGTTGGGGGACACCTCAGGAACACCACATTCTTTGCGTTCCTGGAAGGGGAGAGGGGTAGGGGAAGGGAAGAGGAGAGGAGGGGAGGGGAGGTGTGGGGGGAGGGGAAGAGGAGGGGGAGTTGGATATCCCCTCAACTTTTTTTTTGGTTTGGGGGCAGGGAGGGGGGGGGAGTTGACGGACGATGACCCCCTTAAATATCTTAGGTTTTAGGGTTAAAGGGAAGCAGCCGTAGGAATTCGGGATACAGGAGTGCATGTATATAGTGTTATAGTTAGATGCTCCGATAACGTAAATACACGCATACATGTACCATATATATATATATGTATATATTTATGCATATACTTATATATATATATATATATATATATATATATATATATATATATATATATATATATATATATATATATATATATATATGATGAAACAAAATATCTCCATCTTTTGATTGTTTAGGGCAGTCTGTGCACGTACTCCCTGGTAATAACAATCAAGAAAAGTGGTCACATCCTTAGAAAAAAATCAAACAAAAGTCAATTGTTTTTTGCTGTCATGTGTCACGGCGCTCACTCTCTTCCCTTGGTTTGGTTCAAGAGACAGATCGGTCTGCTGAGATGATAGGAAAGAAAAGGCGTACTTTACTGTTTTTTTTTTCTTTTGGGAGGATAGATTGTATTAATTCTCACACACACGCACTCACGCACACACACACACACACACACACACACACACACACACACACACACACACACACACACACACACACACACACACACACACACACACTCTCACACACACACGCACGCGCGCACACACACGCACGCGCGCGCACACACACACACACACACACACACACACACACACACACACACACACACACACACACACACACACACACTCATACAAACACACACACACACATACACACACAAGCACTCCCTACCCTGCCCTTTCCTCTCCTCTCCTCTCTTCTCCTTCGACCTTCCACCCTTTCCTTTCCCCTCTTTCCCCTATTCCCCTATTCCTCTCTCCCCTTCGCCGCTTTCTCCCTCCCTATTCCGTCCTCCATTCCTCTGCGTCCATATAGATTCACGCGAGGCCTTCATAAACCTTGAATACGCCATCCCAGACCATTAATTACTGGCACCCATTCCATGCAGTGTATAAACCACTCCCATTACATGTCACCAATAAACCCGTTCTCAATAACCCCCTCCCCCCTCCCCCTTCTAAACCACGCCTTGTAACCTCTGCTCTCTGTGCTGCGCGTGTAAACCGGGCTCTTCGTTATCAGCCGTGTTTGTGTGTTTGTGTGTTTGGACGTGTTTGTGCGTGGCTCCGTGTGGGTGCATCTTGTGTGTTTGGGCGCATGTGTTTGTGTTTTTGTACGAGTGTTTGTGTGCGATTTTGTGTTTGAGTGTTTTTGAGTTCATGTATGTGTGTTTGTGGCATTGTACGAGTGTTTGTGTGCGATTTTGTGTTTGAGTGTTCGTGTCTGTGTGTATGTGCATGAGTGGCTGGATGTGTTTGGTGTCTTTTCTGTG